TAAATAATTATCCTGAGTATTACACTTCGATAATAAATTTTGTTATCAAATCCAAATACAGAGTGATTGTTTTAGCATGAAATATTTATTTTCTTAAAGAAATTATGATCTCTTGTTTTATTTTTATCAATTTATCAATCATTAAGTATATTTTATATTCCTCCCTACTTATTTTATAAGAATATCAACTTTATTTTTTAAACGAGAACATATACAATTAACTAGCTTATTTTTTTAATAACTTATGCATTTGTAGATAACATTAAAATCATATTTTAATATTAATTTTTTTTTAAATAGCCAATTTTTAGTACATTTCTTGTTTAATGATTAATGTGTCAAGTCAATAGCAACTTTAGAACAAATACTTATTGAGTCACAAGCATTTTAATACACAGAGTAAGTATGTAACACAGGTGAAATGTCTTATAAATATATACCAGTACGAGCAGTACCCACTTGAACTATATACCACGGTAAAAATTAAAAATGCTTATAACTCAACATATTGAGTTATAGTAATTATTGAGTGATTATAATTACTCGACCTAAATTTGTTAGTAACTCAAGATGAGTTAACTCGTGTAATGTTTTAATTGCATTAGGAAACAAATATTTTGATAATTCACTATATAAATTTTCATTGCATATTTCATTATTCTTATGAAAGTCATTTGCTTAAATATATTTTGTTAACTATGCATATCATGCAAATATTAGGAATTTAATGTCGATCAATGATTACCTATGATAAAATACATGCTTACAGTACATACTACTGTTGCATATTTTAAAATTGTAATTAATTTCCGTTGATAAATAGACTGTTATTATTAGTACAGCGTCAACATTATCTATTTTATCTAATTTTTTTGCAATACAAGTTTAGTTTAATATTAGTTTAATAAAAATTACATTTAAAAAATAAGTACATTAACCTTTAATCGAACATAATTTAATTTGTATGTTTACAGAGTCAATCACCTGATGGCGAAAAACACATACGAATTATGTTCAATCGGTTGTCCTTCATATCGCATACATAAAGTATACTCTTTCTCTTTATTTTTTGAGACTATAATTTGAATTTTTTTATTCAGATGAAGAATTATTTATGCTCGTTGGTAGAAACAAATAAATATTTGGTTCAGTGCATTTATCATGAAAAATAATCTATTTACGTAAGAATACATACATATTTCAAAAAAATTATTTCATTAAAATTCCAAAATTTACAATATGAAATTAATCACATTGATATACAATACTGCGTTAAAAGCTTTGGTCCGACACGTGTATAAACGATTTGTTATTTAAGCTGCTAAGCCAATCAAATTATATATTTTTTTTTTTACGTAATAACAAGAAACGGTATAAGTAAAACATTTTCAAATTACATTGTCATAAAAAATAAGTCAAACAAATTTTTTAACTTCTAACTAAATGACAGCTCAAAAGCAAAAAAAACTATTTTTATTAATAACGATAAAAGAATTTATACTGAACGGTTTTTTTTCCAACGTATATTTTTATGACACTCATAGTTATATTATAGTTATGAATATAAAATCACCTGTTGTAATAAAACGTGTATAATTCAAATATATTTTTCGATTATCCCGAAAACCCATAAAAACTAAGCTACGGACTTGAGCTGTACAAACGACGAAAATTGTCGTTAGAAGAGTTTTCATTTTGTTGATAAGAGTCCATCATAAATATGGCAAGCTGTTAGTAAAACACTACTACACACACCGGAGATTACTTGGCTCTGGGCGGATCACTACTCATTAGGATTTAATTTTAATTGACGTTCAGTGATTACTTGTAACAATATTTAAACGCCATCGACGTAGGTAAGTAATTACTTGTAATACATATCTAACCATAATACTAGGTCTTGACAAAATGGGTTAATTCTATGGCATTAACGATTAAGTGTGACAGACAAAATTGCAGCATTGGTCGTCACAACGCCGGACTACATACCACCTACTTAGACCAATAGCGTCGTTGACAAATCGCGTCCTGTAATCGTCGCGCGTACATCGAATGTCATTCAGACGATGGCCGAAACGTGTCAACGGAACCAATACCGACTATGCAACTGACGGCCGTCGTAATCAGCTACAGAAAACAATTCCAATGTGTTTTACTAGAACGTCGACGGAGAGAGCACAACTATAATGTTACACTGCAACTATTATTATTATTATTATGTACACCAACAGTCGCGTTATGAATTTTCGCTCCAAGTCGTAACGATATGCCAAAAAAAAATAAAGTAAAATTAAATAACAATAATTCTATCGGACATAAATTGTTGTTTCGATCAAGTCTCTCCTACAACGCAAACGTACTAATTATTGAGAGCGTAGGAAGACATTCGAAAGCGCGAATGAACGTGTTTCAGCTACCGTTAGTGTTGATCGATTCGTATTCGAAATTATAAATTCGACGTCAACGCCGAAAACTGAGAACAAAATCATGTTGAAGTTTAGGTCTAGGTCATACTAGTTGAGTAAACGTGGTTTGAACGGTAGCCGTAAACTGCATACTGTAAATGCGTATCGCATTAACATGCGTAAGCTACGACCTATTGAAATTCGCGTATATAAATACGTGTTTATAATTATAACTTCACGAAGTAAAACGTCAACAATTGCCTAATGAAGTCCGCATTTTTAAAGCGACCAGACACGGCGGCGTGTCTGCATAAGGGACAGCTGCGTCAGGGCGCAAAGGCGTAATAATATTAATAATAATAACTGTTCGACCCGATACAACTCGGGTACGTAACGTTATTTACAATTATGTGATTGCGTTTATGCATATTCTAAGTTTTTTAAGTTTTTTTCGGGATATGTATATAACACATACGTATATATTTATATATAACACACACGTTAGGGAGGCATTAAATACAAACTGTCCCGGGGCTCTTAAACCATTAATACGCCACTGGGCAGACGACGTCAGTCGGGAAAACTATTGACAGACAAACCATTGCGCTCACTTTCGATACACTCGTCGGCCTCTTCGGTTCTACCGACTCGAGATAGCGTTTTTTTTTTGTTTTTGTTTTTTTTTCTTTTCGTCACACATTTTTGACCTATTTATATAACCAGCCGATGCCGAACGCGTGTAATCGCATTTTGCGAGTTTGCACATTTTCAAACGGAAATCGATCGACGAAACAAATACTCCTCTATACTGTAAATTACACCACGTCGGCTCGCACCAAAAGACAAAGTGCACTTGTCTCAGCAAAAAAACGCTATGTAAATAATTAAATAACAGAAAGAATTAATAATAAGACAAAAAAAAAAAGTCGTAGTCGACGACCTCGAATGATAGTTAATGATTTTACACGGGATTGTTTTGCACACTAGAAATTAATAATACTATTATCATACATTAACATTAAATATTAGCCCGGGGAAGACTTAATACAAATTAATGGCCTATGCTAAAACTTGTTTAACGAGTGTAAGTGGTAAGGATAAGAAAAAAACAAATGCTCAGAATAAAACGCCGTGAGGGTTTTCCAACAATTTCGTCATCTGATCCTGTCCATCTATACGACAATCGGTAGTCATGTTTACTGTAAAAAAAAAATGCGCGTAAATCGAATCGATTCGCTCAGAGCAAAAACAATCACATGATTGACGTATCGCTTACGATCGTGCGATTATTTAGCGCGGACGTTGCTAACGACGTTTAGATAGCCGTCGCTCGACTATAATTAAATCAACCCATTATAATTCAATATTTACTAATTATGATTTGATTGCGTCTGGTAATTGCCGCGGGTGTTTTAATAACACAGTACGCTATTAGTATGTAAAATACAATTGTTAAGTGTTAATTAGCATTGTACAAATAATCGTCACATGGTTACATAATAATACAAATGAATATCGATTTCATTTTACGAGTCACCATACCTTATGACTTGATTTTTTCGCTGAAAAAGCCGGTAGCGGTCTAAATCGGGTGGACTCGTAACTGGTATTATCACATCGGCGGCCTCTCTACGGCCGTCTAGGTCGGTGTTGGTGTACTAGGGCGCACGCTCTCGACCGGGGTGGTTGTCAGGATCCTATCATGGTTTGTGTGCACCGACGGCTATGCTATACTTGTTCGCGTTGCAAGTACTCGTTGCGCGAGCGTGAGATGACGCTGTCGCCGATTGTGATAACGCGTTGATAGCAGTAATGATTCGAATGAGAGAAAAAAAACTATCGGTACGGCACACCGTCGTGGTTTTAGATTAAAAATCAAAAGACGACTCCTAATCGGATCAAAATTTGGACATTTCCTTTACGACTGTGGTGACTGTTGTGCGATAACGGTGCGTGGCGCTGTTCGTACGACGACTGGCGGGCAGCTGATCCGACGGTTACCGGCCCCACTACGGCGGCGCCACCGAACGAGAAAGTACTAAATATCGGCAATAGCACATACAAGCGCACCCGCGCACGCTCTTACCAGCGGTCGAGGAGAGTGAAAAGATAGTACGGAGATTTTCAAAAATTAGGTTCACCACCAAAAAAGCAGCTAGATGTGTTTTGAAACCTACACATACATGGCTAACTTCTATTGGATCGAGCCAAATGGGTGTCGAGTGCGCGGTAAGAGTAAAATATCTGGACAAGGTTACTCAGCGACTAAGCTTATTATAAATACTTATGTTCGGCAAGAAAAAAAGTGTTTAAAAAACACCAAAGATTACCGACCCAATAGTTTAACATGAGGCTTAAGAATAATCACCTCGTTCTATTAACATCCAAATTTTAATTAAAACATTTTTTTACCTTTATCCTTTACTATTTACCAAGATTTTTCATCGTCATGCCGTTGTATGTTATATAGGTCGCCACGTAACAGCGTTAAATCATATTAACGTCTATTGTCTACCAACTAAAATAGTGTTCACGACTAATCCATTTAATAATCAATATATGGTTTTTTTCGATTGGCGAATCTAAAACATTTCCAGAGACAACTGTTTTGAATATATTCGCAATCTCGAAATGGTCTAGTTATAAATAAATATTAAATATCTGCGATATTAAAAAAATTAATACTTATTATTGACGGGAAAATCAATTAAGGCATAAAACTTTAAATTCAAGGTTTCTCAAAACTATAAATACACTGTCGAATATATGAATTATAACGATTCAATGGTAATAAACAACAAACAAAAAATAGGTATGTAATAAGTAGAAACAACATTTTTAATTCAGTAGATTTATACTTACATGAAATTCTTACAGAAAATTGAAAACTAATGCAAAAACATTAATATTAATATAATATATAAAAATACAGTCATTTTGAATTTTAATTACACTAAATATTTATTAAAACTAAAAAATAATTACACGGTCTTAAAGTTTAGTAAGTGTAGTTTCATAAAAATATTGTAAATATTAAGTAGTATTCTGGTAACAATGTGGTTATTGTTTGAAACGACATATTAACTTATATATCGAATGACACAATTTGAATTTTAGGCATACACGATGTAAATCGATGATAATATGATAATGTATTAGATCTTTGACTATTTTTTTTAAACGTAAAACTATATACAGCTCATATAGTACAAACAGTTGCCAAGATATTCACATACATTGACGATTAGTGCTAGTGACATAATAAAAATTTAACCACAATATAATTATATATACATTTAATATTATAAATATATCCAAAATTCAAGCTTATTTTAAAATCTTTATGTTTATAAGTAAAAGAAAAAACGGTAGCAACGTGTGGACATGGCATAGATGGGACAAGTATAGATGATATCTATCAGTGACTAAAATCACTATCATAAGAAACGTTTTAATTCCCCTTGTATAAATTCAAAAAAAAAGTATGTAGTATGAAAGATGTACATAAAAAGTATTTATAAAAAAAAAATTTATTGACCATACATTTTTGAAAAAATTATAGCAATATAAATAAAAAAATAAAAAATAGAAATGGAAAATTTTTTCACAAAAATCGTACGTTTTTCTTTAACTTTAATGTCCGTTTTCACCATAAGTCCATTGGTCAAATTATTTTTTCAAAATAAAGTATACTACATAAGTTTTAATTTAAGGGTTATATAAAAGTGTCAGTATTTCTGGAAAGTTTTCAAAAGTTAAGTTATGAAAGTTAATTTTTTGTGGAAAAGATGTCATTTTGAAAGGGTCAAAGGTTTACAAAAAATTTACTAAATCATAGGTAAATACCTAAGATATCTATAAAATAAATTATGTTGATTTGATCATTTTTAAAAAAGTTATGGCAGTTTAAAGGAAAACATTGAAAAAATGTCGAAAATTAACAATTTTTAAAATTGCAATTTTTTTGTGGGATTCCCCCATTTACGAGGAACGAGGGAAATTTTTTCAAATTTAAGGGTAATATCTTCGATTAGACACAATTTGTGATCTTTTGACGTATTGTTCATCAAAATCGGTTTAGTGAAAGCTGAGAAAAAACAGACACAAAGATATAACACGTCATACTAAAATTAATACCTTCTTAGCTTCGCATCGAAGCTAAAAAAAAAATTTTAATTTTCGAACTCGTTTATTTTTTACACAAATAAATATTAATATTCAAATGACAAAGTTTAAATTTTCATAGATTTTGATAAAAATGTAATTACAATGATTTCATTATACAACAACAAAAAAAATATCACCCAATAAGAAATTTTTCAGAAATCGATATTTAAAATAAAATAAAGTAATAAGATTTATATAAATACGAGTCTAAGCGAGCCAAAAGGAATCGTGTGCACAATGTAGTTATTATACAAATTAGCAAATCTAAGATATTACAAATATTTTTTATAGAAGCAATTAAAATTATATTCGATTTTATTCGTTCAAATAATATTTCAAAGTAAATTAAAAAAAAGTTTTTTACCAAATTAAAGTTTTAGATTAACGTTTGATTTACAAACAAATTTAACTCCTAAATCTTATTTGATACAATTGTTAAAATCTATGCCGTCTATAGTACGTAAATGTGACTAGGATTGAACATTTTAATCTAAACATTGCTTTGATATGAAACTATAAACACAACGAGGAGAAGAGTTAAGCCCTCCAGTTAATTAGTTTTTTCCCCAAGTTAAGAAAATTACATTGATTATCATATAAAGTATAAGGTTGGGAAAAGACATTTCAAAAGAATTATTTTAGCTGTGACAATACCTGTAGCAACATTCCTAGGGAGTGGGGTATTACAGTTACAAACATGTTTGGTGATCTTTTTCTCACTGAAAATGAAGGAAAAAATACCCAAATAAATGTTCACATAAAATTCAAAAATCTCTCTTTCTACAATTAAAACTAAAATTCACGTTATAAGACTTAATCGCACATTTCTGATTCACAAGACACGCTATATTTCGTCCTAAACCTTAATGTTTATTTAAATAGTCTCCTATTAAAAAAACGGTAGCACAGTGGGGTCACGGCATAGTAGAGACATTGCATAGTAGGGTCCAGTATAGATTTAATCTGACAGTGATTAAAATCACTATCATAAGAAACGCTTCGATGCAAATCTGTAGNTAAAAAGTGTTAATGTTTTATATTGAAGAGTAGAACTGTTTTCTTATCAATCAAATCTAGTTTTTGTCAAAAGTTAAAATTTTCCAAGGTCTTTCTTTTAAAAAGTTTATAAAATAATTACAAAAAGAATTTAAAATATCAAATGTTTACAAACAAAAGATACAAAATTATAATTGGTATATTAAGATAATCTAATGATAGGAGGTTCACTAATTACCTATAAGTCAATCACTTGTTTATCGGTTTTTTTACATAAGACAACTGTCTAGTTACATACTATTAGTAATCAAACAGCTGGATAATAATATCATATTAATGAGTTGTTCTGAAGATTTAAATCGATTAGCGGAATTTAATAGGCCGAGACGACCTCATGCACACAGTAATGGTAAAAGAACAATCTTACCGAATTGGTTTGGCAAGGTTTCTTTTTACTTAAAATTGTTTTATTTTACACCCTTTATGTCATTAGACTGTATTGAGATTTCAAGGCATTAAATCAACTAAATATAATAGCATGAACTTTAAAATATAAAACGTAACTTGATTAAATTTATTAATTAAATTTAAACTATTTAAATTAACTAGACAATTTTAAAATATTCTTATGACATATTTTTTTTAAATACTAACGTACAAGACTTTAAAGTTTGGTAAAAATATTTTCATCGTAATAATTGTTCTATAGTCTAATGATTTTTTTTTTACAGATTTAAGTGAATACATAAATGTAAACAATAGCGTACATCATTAGATAAGTAAAGTACAAAAAAACCACTTTAGTCTACAACGAAAAATTTACTGTAATTATTAATCAAATAATTAAAACAGATTGAAAAAAATTGAAATTTTTAAAATTTTTTCAGAAAATCTTAATTTAAAATAAATATTAATTTTGAATAAAAAAAAGTGAGCTCGTACGACAGATTTTTTATTAAATAATCATCACAGCCAGTCTCTTTCATTTTTATTACTTAATAGACATAAAAGTAACAACGGTTACAAACAAAACGATAGATATATAACCTAAGTCGAAAAAAAAACATGAATAACGAATAAAAATAATTATTTGTTACTATCATAATGGAAAAAATAACTTAAAGAAGCATATCATACTTTATATTTTAACAATTAATTTTTACAATTCTCTAATACTATAAAATACTGGAGATCTTAGGAATCATTTGATATAAACTCCTTATTTTATAAATTTAGAAAACATGAGGTTTTTTACATTAAAATACACTGTATTATATTATTTTATAATAAATTATAGTATAATTACTAGTGTTTAAAAAGGAGATCATACTAAAAATATTTTTAATAACTTTGACACATCTACTCAGTTATTAAATCCACACAGAAGATATTTTTAATCTGATAATAATTTCAAATTGTTAAACATAATTCGCCACAAATAATTTCTTTAATTTTCTCACAATTTTTAAATAATATTTATTTTGCCAAACAAGCAATTATAAATCATAGTACCATAAGAAAGAAAATTGATGATATAGCAATTTTTTATATTTTTTTATTACGTAGGTAATTTTTCTATTTTCAGACCATGACCCCGTTGTTGAACAAATGGTGTACTAATGTTAAAGTAACCTTGAAAAGGAAATTTCATACAAGAATAGTGCGTGTACTTCTTCAACTATGAGAACGTAATATTTAAACAAAAGAAAAATTCGCAGTTCAAATAAAGTGCATTATTTTATCATAGCTTCGCTTTTCTCATACATACTCATGTTATGTTTATGGATAAAATATTTAGATTTTGCAAAGCGCACAGATGACCGCGTAATGCACATAACAACATACAAGTAAGAGACGGCAAACAATTTATTATGTAATGAATCATAACAATAATAATAAGTAGGTAAACTAGCAACAGTCTTCGGTCATATCAAGTACGCCATTACCTCAAGTCTAGGAAATCACACGTTCGAACAGTCGGTCACAATATAGGACATGTTATAATTACAAGCAATCTATTAACGACTTAAAGTTACAATAAAACCGAATTTACATTGCATGACGACCAGTTTATACTCACCAATCTATAGTACTAATCAATTCATATGTTAAACATGCGAATAAAACTATCAAATAATTAATTAATCACTTCTAAGATCAAAATTAAACTGATTAATTTAAAAATAATGTGAATTTATAAAAACGAGATAGTTAGTATACTAGACTGACTAAAACAACAAAAAACATTTTTTTTTGTTTTACCAAGAATCAATAATACACACCAAAAGAAGGTAGCCATCCTCCACATTTGAGTTTTTTTAAGCTGTTCTTCCCATTTAAATAAAATGGAACTTATGTATAAAATCGATAAATTTTTAAAAACAACAAAAAAAATTAATTTTTTAAATTATATACGAATATTTCAAAAATCAATTTTAATTTTAAAATTTAAAAAATAACTCAAACATTTAAAAGCTCATAGCTTGTTAGTAACACAAAATTTAAGGAAGCTCAAAAATGTTGGGCGGTTAAATTCCTATCTATTTCTGTCAATGGCGATGTATTCGGTTTTTCAGTTAGTAAAAAATACGAAAGTATCAAAATATATCCGTTTTTATGTTTAATAAAATATCATCATTAATTCACACAAAATAAAAAGGAATTCATTTTTTAACAATATATCATACCTATATATTGTGGTTTTGTGTTTACTAAAGCAAATTTCAAGAAACAAAAAATGTAGTTACTATTATTTTTATTTCACGCAAAATAAAATAATTAATATGAATTAGTTAGATGAAAACTTTACTATTAGAGGTACTATAGTAACTTACTTGCACTAGTAAATCGTAGACATTTATTACAACCTTCAAACAAATATAGTTGCAAACATTAAAACATATTTATCACTTAAAATCTTTAGGAGCACTAATGTGTGTAACTTTGGTGATAATGTACTTCTACAATCGTAAACGCACATACAAATAAACAGTGTCATACAATATAATAATAAATTAAAAATTGACTGTATGTGCGAAAAAAACGATATCCAAACAATAGTCTTGTTAAAACTTTATGAACTATTATTGATATAAATTAGACGTATACAACGGTGTAACAAAAAATAATTACTTTTATAATAAATTAAACTTTATGAAATTCACAACCTTGAAAAAATTACCCCGAATTGGAATTAACATTAATTTGATATAATTTTAAATTTGCCATTAATTAAATAATTAATTTGAACGTCCAAGGATTTGTATGAATAAACTTAAGAATTTTTTGAACAACTTATCATTAATATTAATTATCTTAATATAAAATTATGTTATATTTATATAAAATATATTAAAATATTTTTAAAACAGCTTAATTCAAAGTTATAATTCCTAAAATCTTAAGTGATCATAACATTTTTACATATCATAAATTACTTTTTTTTAATGCAGAATAAGTTACTATTTATTTATTTTGAATCAATTAAGTCGCTCTTGGTATACAGAGTGATTAGTTAATCGTTCACCACTACATTTCTTTTAAAATAACAATAATTATAAGAACTATTTTTTTGGATTATTTAAATAATAACACCTCACCTCCAGTCATTCGAAATCGTTATAACTGTAGAAATATTGATACAAAAGTTGCAAACGATTAGTACATAAAATGTGGATAAAAAATTCCTGAAATGTTAAACATTCAATCAAACCGAATAAATAAATATAACAAACATCTCATTAAAAATTTTTTTTTTGTAAAACTATATACACTATTTATCTAGGGTTATCGATGATTAACACATTAATGTAGAGATCTAATGTTTCTAATTAAAAATTACTATTTGTAATTGGGAGTAACTTGTTTTGATTTAATTTTGTTCCAATAAAATAATCTAAGAAGACTTTATAACCGCATAATGTGTAAAAAATGTATGATTACTTATCATATATTTTTATGCAAATGTATATCGTTCAATAACCTAGCTAGAACAATTTTCATTAAATATGTCAGCATTTAGTAATTTATAGATACATATATTTTTTGTATATTTCTATATTATTGCATAAAAGTTATACTTTCTATAGTATTAAAGAAATTATTTTTAATGTTTTGCGCTAAGTTACAAACTTAAAATTAAAAAATAAAATATTCTTGAACCATTTTTTTCTTAAGCAATATTTTACATGCACTTCTTTTGGCAGTACAATAATATGACTGCGTTTTTCTATTTTTTACGTTATTATTTTAACTATTATTGAATTATAGGTAATTTTTAGTCAAATATATACGACATAGTGAACTGATATTTTAACAAATTTATTATTACGTTAGCAATTAGTTTAAGCTATTTAATTAATTTTTAGAGATCAATAGATTTTTTTCTTGTTGGATATTTTTGATATAATACACACATATTTTTCAGTATTTTATGAATAAAAATGAGGGCCTCAATTATACGACTATTATATACACCTCATCACTTTACGCACACAGAGGACCTTATACATAATTAACATTCTTATGCTAAGTGAAATTCNTTGTTGGATATTTTTGATATAATACACATATTTTTCAGTATTTTATGAATAAAAATGAGGGCCTCAATGATACGACTATTATATACACCTCATCACTTTACGCACACAGAGGACCTTATACATAATTAACATTCTTATGCTAAGTGAAATTCATTGAAAGCAAAAATCAAGAATAATAATTTTTGTTATGATGTTTTCGAGGTCAAGAAACTTAACAACGAACAAGTCATTCGAATGTGGTTTGGTATTGAACTTTATTGATATATTTATTGGAGTAAATCATGTTACATCTGTAATAAATTATATGAAAAATATTAACGTTATTAGGGTTTTATCTGGAATGGGATTATACATATAAAAAATTTTCTCCAAACGAAAATAAATTGTATCTTCGCCATATAATTATTTTTGTCATGAGGAATATGACACTTATGATAACGCTTGTTTTTTGCTTCTAAACTTGAATGATGGGCACATTAAAAATTCTATAACTTCGACAGATTTATCACATTACAAAAGGATTTATTTAGAGGAAAAATTATATATTTATACTTGAACAGTTTAAACGATAGTTTAATAAATAGTATACACAGTCGATTTTCCTACTTAATTCAAATAATGTTATTTAACCAAGAATATGATATAGAATTAATTTTGTAAATGAACAAATNTAACTTCGACAGATTTATCACATTACAAAAGGATTTATTTAGAGGAAAAATTATAAATTTATACTTGAACAGTTTAAACGATAGTTTAATAAATAGTATACACACAGTCGATTTTCCTACTTAATTCAAATAATGTTATTTAACCAAGAATATGATATAGAATTAATTTTGTAAATGAACAAATTTTAGGCACATTTGTTTCTATGTTATGTAAGTTATTTATGTCACGTTTAAAAATTTAAATCAAATATTGACTTGTGAACAATTCTCAAATTGTTATCAAAACTTCAAGTACTACTTTTTTAAGCGAAATATTTATTTATTTAAAAAGTAATAATTATATAGAAAATTAAAATGAATTCAATCGAACCTTAAATAATTAAAATGTGTTTAATTAATACAATAACAAAGCGATTAACACAAAGACGTAGCCACAAAACTTTGACTTAGTTCATATATATTATTTTAGTAGATTATTTGGCGAAATGACAGAACTAGTAACTCTATTATAAAACTACTAGTTATCAAAAGAACAGCGATTAACTAAACAAATTCATGCATTCGTTCAAAAAATAATTTTTATTGTATATTCACAATTACATGTATAAATCGTATAATATTCTATTAGTATATATTACACTAATAGAATTATATTAGTATGCACTACATTTAACTTAAAAATCAATATCTGTAAACCTCTTTAACAAATTCAAAAAATATATTATTTTTTAAAACACACATGATTTATGTCGTAACCATAAAAATAAAAAATTATTGGTCAACACCAGAAACTGTTTCATAAATAGTTTCTTGGATTCCTAAACGCTTAAAAATAATATTACACTATAATGCATAATGACAAGCGAAAGCATGACAAATATAGCGATACGATTACATCTGTGACGTTACATATTTCCCTTTGATCAATTACGGATAGACATACAATCATAATATACATTTCGTAAGTGATTATAACATTAAAAAAATTTGAACAATTTGACACAACAGGACGATAAGACTTAGAATCAAACGACCCATTTAATGACATATACATTAATTTTAATAGTCCTACGCACTGGAATATCCAGAAATAAATCTATTTTCATATACCAAAATAAATTCTATATATAAAATCAAAAACTAATGGTATTTAAGTTAAAAATTGTACTTTCTGACATTATAACTACTCAGTTGTATTATGCCCTCATATTCACACATACAGTCGAATTTGCTTCTATCATTCTGCGTGCAAAAGTAAACAAAAAATTATTAAGTAATAAAACACTGAATAGAAATAATTAGAAAGGATAAGAGAAAACGGTCATAGTAATCGCTATGCTTTTATAACGTATCCGATAATATCTAATTTTAATTAACACGAGTAGCTAGCTATCCTTATGGAATAATCAAAAGTATTATAATGCTGTTTTGTAATTATTTAAAACAATTGTTTGAATCAAGGAAGATATATTTTGTATTCAGAGATTACAAAGTAAACAAAATAATTCAATTAAATGAACATGCTTAATGGTAGTAAATATAATTATCAATTAGTAGTTCAAAAGAGGCAAAAACGTAGGTGAAACGATTAACGTCTATATGTTTAAAAAATATTTATGATTTCAAGTGACTACTCATATACATAAAACTATTAACTCGATAAATTTTTAATTAATATTCAATTTTAAATATATTTAAAATTTTTGGCTTGCATTTCATTTTCTATTTTATTTACATACAAATAAAAATTTACATACTTTAAGAAACTGATAAAAATAAGTTTTTATTTAATAATAGTTCAGTAGCTGTAATATTTATAAATAGCATAATGAAACATAGTGTACGTTTATTAATTTAAAATGTTTGCACGTTTTAATGTTTGCATTACAACAAACAGTAGAGAAAAAATAATGAAATTGAATACTATCATCTATAAAATGTGTTATTTATTTAATACTTCGTTGATTTTCTTACTAAAAATGTATACACACAATGACAAAAGGATAAATTGTTTTAATCTAAGGAAATACCCGTGAATAATTTATTTAAAAATAATAGGTAAAATCATAAAGATACACTTAAAGCTATTTTATAATATTTCTGCTTTTTAATCCAGTAAACTAGTAAATTTACGTCAACCTGAAGGCCAAATTGTTACTGTCATTAATAAGCATGGAAAAGCTACAAATTACAAAATCAATAATAGATAAAAAATTACTACTTTTCATAAAATAATAGTCTAACCGGATACGAAGTTTATTAGGGCCTAAACGTGTTGGCTCTGTACAACAGCAACGTGTTGCTAAAAACCACTTTTTACACAAAATAAAAATCCCCTCTCCTTAACCCGGGAATCCCGGTAAAAATTTTCATGGAAATTACGAAGAATAATAATCATGATGACGTTTGAAACTACGCTACTTAAAGTTATTATAATACGGTATATTTTTATGCGATTCGTCTTTTTAAATGTTTCAAACATTATCTATATGTGGAATTTATAAGTCTTC